ATATATACCTATTATTTATTCATAAAGATACTTATTTTGTAATGTTGTATTTATTTATTTCATTGTGTACATTTTATTTTTTAGTATATTTAATTTACTTCACTTTAGTTCCATTTGCCTTTATCAGTAAAAAAAATAACATTCAAAAAATGCTTCTTTAATTCTATAATGGGAACTAATTTTCTAAAGCTCTGGCTCAAACAACCACCATATAAACAGGGGGAAAGCATTTTTAGCTTCACAATCTTCCCACAAGACCCAAAGAAGCCATTATCAGTGTCTAAAATAACTTCAGCCGTTAAAGATGTTCATTCTAAAATTTGACTTCTGCTGGAACAGAATATCTCCCAAGTTGTTTTGTGGAGCATTCAGGCATCACTAGTGTCTCATTAAAAGATCCAGGAAGTTCATTAAAATGAAGAGGGTGGCTTTTAAAAAGAAAAACAGTCTTTAGTTCTTGTCCTCTTCTCATTTACAGCCTAAAGAGAACTTGAAAACACGCTAAGCACTGAGAAAACCTTCTTGATCATCCTACTGATCCCTCTGTCCTCCTCCACCATGACCTCTAACCCCACAAAATGCAGCACAAAGGAGGAGGAGGAAAGACGGACGTAAAACTGGTGCAAGCAAATTATATCTTTATTTCATCTTTTTTATTTATTTTTTACAAGTCATTATTTCATATCGTATGGAAAGTTAGAGCCATAATAAGAAGTAAAACAGATTTAGATTATTTAGACTTCGAATCCATAGTTACCAAGCATTAAGAAAACGTGTCATCAAACATGTCACACACATTTTCACAGACTGAATCTATTCTGTTTATAGTGAGTTGTGTGCTGTAGACGTGTTACAGAAAAAAAAACATATCTGAAAATGGACTCATAGGAAAGTGAAATTACTTTACCATTCTGTAGACTGTAATAAATTCATTTGTCAGAGAAACAGGGGGAAAAAAGCAAAGATATAACACATCATTACCCAATAAAACTAACAAATTGGTGCTGAATTAAATTAATTACTAAATAAATCATTCCCAATTTGTTCCTGTAGCAGCTCACATTTAACACCGCCTCCAAATATATATATATATATATATATTGCAGTCCACTCTTGCAGTCATGTAAAAGTATAGTTTTGAATCTGCCCAACTATCAAATTCAACACGTAAATACATCAGCTTTGAGGAGCAACTGACCCTCAACGTTTGACAGTGGGAATGCAAAAGAACAAGAATGAAATAAGGAGTTTCTTAAAATAGGTTTTGGGCAGGGGTCTGCATCTTTTACAATCAAAAGAACCATTACTTCCCATTGGCTAAAAAAATGTGTCTGGAGCCACAAAAATGGTGGCCCATCCACCAATTCAAGTTAAAAAATAATATAGTGAATTTATATACAAGATTTATTTTTGTTTTTACATTTTAGGATGAAAAAATACCACATTCAACAAATATGAGGAATATATGGTTTAAATTATAAACTATATTTTCCAAAAAAAAGTAAAACTATCCTGATGGATTTGAACAGAATATACAGTATACAGCAGGTAAAATAAGTATTGAACCATCAACATTTTTCTCAGTAAATATATTACTAGAGGTGCTAATGACATGAAATTTTCACCAGATGTTGGTAACAACCCAAGTGATCCATACATACAAAGAAATCAAACCATAAATGTCCAGAAATGAAGTTATTTGTAATAATGTGGAATGGCACAGGGAAAAAGTATTGAACACACTTACTGAAATTTATCTAATACTTTTGTTGAGGCAGTAGCAGTAACGATTAGAAC